TTGAGTAAAAGTACAGATCCGTATAATAAAATATTACTCCAGTAAAAGTACTCAGTTTCAATTTTACTCGAGTGAAAGTACAAAAGTACATAAAAAATCAAGTACTTTTGTACTTTCACTCGAGTAAAATTGAAACTGAGTACTTTTACTGGAGTAATATTTTATTATACGGATCTGTACTTTTACTCAAGTACTTGATTTGTTTACTTCTGTCCACCATTGCCTTCAGGTAAGCATCCACAGCTTAACTACAAGCTCTACTTTTCAGCACTATGGTAACCACAAAAATGTAATAGAAACTCTTTCATAATCCTATAAGTTACTACAACTAAAAAAAAATCTATTAAAGTACTGGAGCAAAAATAAAGACAAATGAAATATTGAACAATTAATAGCAAATAATTTTCTACTATCATTACTAGAAGAATGTCTATAGAAATGTAACCGGTGAAATGTCTTTGTGCAATATGTGTGATATCAGTAGGCTTACTCTCCTTATGATACTCACTTTTCATGTCACATAATATGCAGTCGGCAGCAGTTACAAACCGATAAGACTTTGCAAACTCAGCTTTCATGGTATGGTTGATCTGAACAGGGCTTTATCACAAATTTGAACTGGTCCTATGATTCCTGTTAAAAAAACAAAAAAAAAACATTGTCAGCACATGTTTTAAAACAGTCTACATTTATTACAATAGGTTAGTATTTATTAAATTACAAAATATCAGGATGTCAAGGATGCAAATGGCCCTGCATACTACAGCAACAGCCTGTGTGATGTGGCAAATATCATGAGGCAGTTCTGCAATATCATGTAACAGTGATATCATCCCTGGTAACTGAATTTGGATGAAAAAAAAATTATTAGGGTGACAATGACAAAGCATGTCGTACCAGAATGAACTCTCAGTCTGTCAGCAAATGTAAACGGATCAAAGACTTGACACTGAGCTGTGTTGCTGTGACTCAGCATATTCTCATATATGCAATATTATGGAACATGTGAGTATGTTTGTTATTTGATCAGCTCAGAGACCAGGTGTCTAACCTTCAATTTTACACCTGCCATAACCTTTTTCAGTTTAGTAACACCAGGTAACCAAAATTCCATCTAATTCCATTATATTACTCTCATTTAAACAGAATATTCACCATATCTTTCATTACATTTTGTTCTTTAAAATAAAAATTACCAATAAACACAAAAGGTTGCAAATAGGTTTAACATTGGAATGAAGAATGCTGAAATGCTTTACAAAACCATATACTGTACTATAACAACACAAATTCAGTGTAATAATTGCAGTTTTGTCTTAAAGAGACAATTCTGTCATTATTTACTAACAAACAATAAAGCATTTTTTTGTCATACAGGTTTGTATGACATGAAGGTATGTGAACTATTTTTGTGTGAGCTATCCATTTTGACAATAATTGTAAAAGCTGATTTTGTAAAGGAAATATATTGCAATACACTTATTTTATTTTATTTTTCAGAACCACATCAAACATAATTGTCATTCTGAGAGCATCACAGAACTGGCACTGAAACTGATACATCAAGTACAGAGAATCACAAAACCACAGGCAGTTTAACAGGAATGAGTAAGTATTGCACACTAACCAATCCATTCCCCCAATCAAACAATCAAGCACAAGACCACACACCTACAATCTACAAAAATTGTAACTACATGATTAATTTTTATCGACACCTGAAACTGGACAGCGGATTTATAGTTCCCAGTGTGCTTTGTGTTGGACTGGGTAGGAAAATGTTGAAATTGGTGAAATGTTGTTATTTAAGTCCTAGTCCTAGTATGTTTGTATGAACTTTAATTATGTGGAAAAAGGTTTTTCCATTTTAATAAAGTATTTAAGAACGTATAAGTGCTGTTTAGAACACTAAGGCTCTTTATCATGGTTTTTAGTGCCCAGAAATTTCAGGTGTTTTGACTTCCCATAGACATAAAATTTCAAGCCAAGTTTTGTGCACTCAGGAATAGCTGACACCACAGCTGAGATGAGCGATTGAAGGCCAACGATCTAAATGCTATTCATAGGCCTATTGAATTTTTTATATAATTTTAAATGTTTAAGAAATTATACCAGAAGTGTATGCTATACTTTAGGAAAGCTTTAGTAACACAACTGTCCGCTGCAAACTGACTGAACTGGGTTGAATCTGGTCAGTACCTGTATAATTGAAATCCTGAGGGAAACAGAGGTTGCTGTTGGAAGAGATGTTAGTGAGGCCAGCACGGGAGCTCATCTTGTTGTCAGTGCAGATCCTAATGCTTCAGTATAGTGATGATAACACTAAAGCCAACATGACATTATGCCTTTCGGTGTTCAGTGTAAATCTAAGGGTCTTCCTCAGACAGATTTAGGGTACGTGTAAAACTAGTGGCCTAATAATATAACATAATCAACCACATCACTCCATACTCAACAAGATAGCAATAAACATTAAAGCTTATTTGCCATTGTAAACAATGGATCATGTATTTACTAATAATCCTGTTTAAGTAAACTGAACATATTTAGTTCTGTTCTAATATTTGTGGGTCTGTATTAGTCATATTAAACAGATATCATTTGATTTGAATTTCTGAACTATTTTCCCTTCTGCATATGCTCCTGTAGTAGTAAGTGTTGTTATCATTTAGAAGGTCAGTCAGTATGCAGTGCATAGTGTTTGGCATCAGTTAATCCAGGAAAGACCGAGATGCCACACAGTCTTACATATAGTTTAATCATTACCTTTTTGTAGGCCAGAGAGAATAAATCATTAATGGCTAAAAAAAAAAAAATGCTTGTTCAAATATTACTTTTGTACTCACTAACCTCTGACACACCTGTTTATTGAAAACAAAGAGACCAGTCAATCCAGCCAAAAATGTTTATTCATCTAATTCACTTGGTTAAAACCAATTAGTGTACATTAAACACAAAAGCATCAGCTTGATGACTAAAAATCACAAGATGACCAATCAAAAGAGCCAGTATCTTGATGTTGCCTCTAATTGTTAACCTTTCAGCCTCTCAAAGTCTAAAAACTTGCATTAGAGCTGCGTGACAACATTGCTTGATTATTTATGCATACAGTATAGCTGGAGGCTTTGCAACATGCATATGATCTGAGGGCTGCATTTAGCTGCTGTCTCCATCCAGGGTGTGCTTGTCAAACAGGTACTCCGCCATCCTGTTGTTGCCAGCATCCATCTTGGAAAGGTTGGTGATGTGGTCACCAAGCTTCTTGATGGCCTCAACCTGCTCATTCAGGTAGTGAGTCTCCAGGAAGTCACACAGCTGTTCGACAAGACAATAGAAGAGATGTTGGGATGCTTAATTCAATAAATTAGGATGGGATAGAGGCAGTAATGTACATAAAAACATGGCCTTAGAAACTCACATGAGGGTCTCCATTCTCAGAGGCGACCTTATGCAGATCCAGCAGAGCCTGGTTGACGTTCTTCTCCAGCTGAAGAGCGCACTGCATAGCAATCAGTCCATTGTCCCACTCATCGCGCTCAGGTTTCTGAAGAGAAAGAGACAGACACGTCAGTGAGCACGTGATGCCCCCCTCCCCTTCAATTCAATGGGCCCTTGCAAATATGCATAGATCTAGAGCCAGATTTGCTCATCAAATCGTTCACCATAGAAAAGGCGTATTTCAAATGCAATTACCTTGATGTCCTGAAGCACAATGCGTCCCCCCCTCTTGTTCTGGAACTCCATGAACTTCTCAGCATGCTCGCGCTCCTCCTCGCTGTTCTTCTTGAAGAACTTGGCAAAACCAGCAAGAGCGACATCATCCCGTTTGAAGTAGTGAGCCTGTAAGGAACAAAATCGTTAAGGAAAAGATTAAAAACACCGAGAGACGCGCTCGTTCACCGCCTAAGTGCAAGCTCTGAATTGCATAACGTTACACTGTCGCAACCAAAAGAAAAAAAGTCAAAAGACATGATTTAGCATATGGATTAAAAAAAAAACTAGATACTTGCCATGGAGGTGTAGGTGTATCCAGCGTAAAGCTCCAAGTTGATCATCTTGTTGATCAAAGCCTCGCAGTCGCGGTCGTAGTTCTGGCGAATCTGAGAAGTCTCCATTTCGGCGGATTTTTTGTCGTTTTATTATCAAAATGTTGGTAAAAAATAATAAATATGAAGTAAGATGTTTTCGAAGGGAAATTCCAGCGAGATCGAAGTTCCGTTCAATCACTGTTGAAGCAAGAACCTCTTCAGATCTTCCCGAAGCTGTGAGATAGAACCTGCACCTTCGTCTTTATATACGCTCACAACACGACGCGTCAGTGAAACTGAAACCAGCCAATCAAAGAACGAGCTGAGTAGCGAGGAAGTGTTAAACAGTCAGCTGAGAGTCAGCAGACAACGGAGATAAGATATTTGTTCCCCTTTTTCATAATTAATGGCAAGATGAACCCAACAGAAAACGATTTGGCGTTCTAGGTTTTGTATGTAAAATGTAACGTTAGACAATATATCAGTCTTTAAGAACAGGACATTCGATGTTTTGTAATTATATTTAAATTACACCAGGGGTGTAATGCAATTAATTACATATTGAACGAAAAAAATCTTAATAGATTGTATTAATATAAAAACACTGAACAGTAAACCTGATTCTAAGATTTGCGTTAAATGAGAATGGAAAATGTTCAGTATAATCAAAGACTATATCACCCTAAGAGACTTTGGTATAATTTAGTAAACGTTTTGTATAATTCATCATGATGTTTCAACCCGACACCTCTGCCACATTGTATTTTCACAGCAAACTTTTAAGGTTGAACCTTAAACTATTTACAAAATGATGAAATGACCCTCGACTTCCTTGGCACACTTGACTTTGTTTGCTCGAGTCAAAGGATCAAAGTGTGTTGAATTAGTGAAATGAAAGTCTAATGGGTTAAAAATAAGTAATATTCAGTAACATGATGTTAATCTAAAAATCACCCTAACGTTGAATTTGCTGTGCTGCTTATGTTAAACTATAGAAACGGAAACCATGGTGTGGTAATATCATGGGACAGTCTTCCAACTATATGTAGCTGTTTTTCACTTAGTAACTGCCTTCGGAATCGGACGCAAAGGTAATCCATCAGGTGACAGTGACTAAGCATTCTGGTACCATGATTTGCACACGAAACCTCACTTTTGTCAGCAATAAAACATGTCCACTCACAAGACGTGGCATTTTGCTGTGTCACTGTAACTCAGCAGCATTTCGCCGTTTCACTTCCTTGTGCGTGGCGCGAGCACGTTTGGAACTTGAACTCCTCCTCAGGGTGTGGACTGGAGTCTTCATGACAGCTTTTGTAGTAAACAGCTTTCAGACTGCCACATTATAGTATTTTTATATCAGTATTTTTCATATATAAGAATTCTGGTAGCAATGAGAATGAGATAGTAATAGTAATGATAGATAATAGAGTAGTAATAGATAGTAAAGAGAGTAATTGTCTATTGTTGAATGAGGAGACCTACATAAACTTATAACCTATGTAATGCTCTATGCTACTTTTCAAGTCTTCCCAGATGTCTGCTAAAGAGCGCTTGATCTGGGAAACATCTGCTGTGTAAAAGCATCTGATAAACGTATTAGATCAGTTTTACATAGGCTACATTCTAAATCATAAGCATATTCAAGTAATTTTCTAAATGTTTATTTAACATCTGATAGGAAATGTCTTAGAGGTGTATTGCAAGTGAGCAAATACAATTAACTAAAAAATAGCAATGGCTAGGCGTCTATTTTACGTAAATGCAGACGTAAACTAGACGTCTCCGTGTTGTACGTGTTCTATCAAGGGTGGGTAGCCATTGCTATTTTTTTTTAGTTAAGTAGAATATAGTACCACTAATTTTGGCACATTTAATATATTTTTAATCAGTTAATTTAAGCACTCTAAACAAAAATATCATTGTTAAATGAGGTACCTCACATTATATATATGACAACAGGGAATGTATGATAATGTTTTACATTTGTAATAAAACCTGTACTATTTTGCAATAAACAAGTTAAACTTGTTATAACAGTTTATTTGTCAGAATACAACCGTCTGTCATGGGAAACATTAATAAAGGTAACCTTCCTGATTTCACATGACTTTGTGAAAGTGAAACAAATGTTAGAATTTCTCCTAACATGCCCGGTCACTTTCTGTTGTCCAAAATGTAATAATAAGTGCTTTATGCAGTAGGGATCCAAATACTTTTCCAGACCACCGCCTTCCTCCAAAGCTCTTCTTGAAGAGAGGGATTTGAGCTAGACCAGTTTTGTCCTGCTTCCCTCTCCTCCTCCTCTTCACAGTGTAGCCACAGACGTTTAAGGGGACTTACACAGGAGTACTGAAGAAACTGACAGCCCTGATGAAAAAAAGTTCCATACATACAATAAAATGAGTGCTGCCAGAACATTTTCCTTGTTCAAAGCAGGCAAAACAGCCTGCATGCTTTTACAGTTATATAGAACACCATCTTTGTAAATGTATGCCCTGCCAAGGTCAAATACAAAATGTTTCTATTCCCTAAAATCTCAATGCGTATTTGTCTTCTTCCATTTTAAGAAAAAATCCCCTCACCTCTTTACTTCCCCAATACCAAATGCTTTGAATCACACTGTGGTTGGCAAGTGCCTGGGTCAGCTGATCCCTGCCCCCTGTTATTATACTGACCAGACCTCCGGGGATATCAGAGGCCTGCAGGACCTTTGAGCAAAAAACAGAAGTCGAAAACATTACAAACAAAGAATTGCAACATGAAGATTAATTGTAAAACATGAACATTAATGGAGGCAGTCTGAAGGTTACAGTGTGAGTGTAAAGTGTCTACTGCTACCACTTAAAACATACACATATACAGAAATGTATTTATTTGAAAAGTAACCTGTATAAATTCAAGAGCTGGAAGAGGGTATTTTTCACTTGGCACCATGACAACGGCATTACCCATGGCAATAGCTGCCCCTAGCAAGGACACCAGAGAGAGCAGCGGTTTGGAGTTGGGGAGAATCACTCCCAGCACCCCTAAAGCCTCAGGAGATGACAGGGCGGAACCAGACTGGGGCAGGACCTTTAATGAGATGAACATATAATTAGAAAGCAAGCAAATAAAATCTTGGGTTAATTGACCCTTCGCAGGGAGCTTGACTGACAGGCGATCGGACCAATCATAACGCCAAATCAAATGAATCAAACGACAAACAAATCAGACAGGAGCGTAGATTAATGTTGGTGGACTTGAACTTGAAAAATGTGAATTGTGAATTGATTTCTTTCCGCGGTTGAATCAAGAAACCTTCTGATGTTCATTCATGTTTATTTCATGCTATAACTAGTAAAGAGGAAGAGATGATCGGTTCACGTGCCGCTTGAACTGAGGCGCTAGTACAGTGATCTGTCACGACACCTTAAAGAGCCACAAAATGGTATTTAATGTTTCAATAAAAATAAAAAAAAGACATAATTTTAAAGATGAGACTTTGTGTCATATCAAAAGTAAGCTGTTTCTGTCTTGTCTGTTGGTGCATGTCAGTGTCCTCTTTGCTCCGCAATTTATTTTTCACTGTCTAAGAACATGGTGTGTGGCATGAGAGCACCATGGCTTGTCGGACGTAGCAACAGTAACTAAGCGGGGCAGTCCTTTGCGAAGGGTCAATTGTGCAAACATTCCTATACTAATGAATAAATATTGTAGGTTCTTACTGGTGTTCCACCCTGCTCTTTATCACAGCGTGCAGCCCAATCAGAGAGCCTGGAGATGCTAAGCTGCACCTCTTTCTCTGCCTCTTCTAATGAGATGCCGGTTTGAGTCTGGATTGATACAGCCAGGTCCCGTCTCCTCTTATCTAGACTGTCAGCAAGTGAATAAAGGGACTGAGAGCGTGCAGCGGGGCTTTTCTTCATCCACCTGCAACGACACAAGGAGCATCACAGTAGTTCTGTAAGTATTTTATCAAAAAAGTTTGACCTAAATTTTTTTGGTCCATATTAGGGATGCACGATATTGGATTTTTGCCGATATCCGATATTTTTCAAATCATTTTGGCCGATACCGACATATTTCCTTCTGTTTGGAAACAACACCAAGTCTCTCCTGTGCAGAAGTTGTAAGCAAAATATTTGTTAATTTTGGTTCGTTTTAAACAAGAACTTATTTGTTAGAATTAAATAAACAATAATGAAGATTTTTTTGACAGTACATTGAAGCTTTGAAAATAACTATAAATAAACTATATATCAATCGCTGCATTTTTTTCCCCAGAAAGGTGCAAGGTTAACCCTAACATTTCATTTTAAGATTTAACATTTGTAGATGGTCTAAAGCAAAAGAGCTGTAAAAATTCTGAAAATCTTTTAGAGCTTATGATTTGTTTAAAAAATAAAGTAGGCTATTTTACTTTTAATTTAATTAGAAGTAGGCCAACAGCGCCCCCTACAGATTAAAACTCCTTACCGAACGTGCGTTAGGACCTGGGGGAGAGGCTGCCACTGCTGCCGCTATTACGGTTTACTCTATCACACACCGAACGCGTCATTCTGTATGTGCTTTCACAGATTAAATGCAGCAATCCAAACAGTCAATCTAATCATCATTCAGACAAAACTTTGCTTCAAGAATGAGCCACACTGCTGACATGATCTAATCGCTAGCACACCCTGAGCACATGCGAGTAACGCATTCCTCTTATCAGCAAGACATATCCGCAGAATTTTTCATATCGGGCCATGCCGATATTTACATTTAAAGCCATTATCTGCCGATTCCAATATCAGTCCGATAATATTGTGCATCCCTAGTCCATATGTTTTATCCTCATGGTAACTTTCCCATATGCTCCTACCCTGGCTGGACCTTAATGGCAGCCTCTACTGCATTCCGGACATCCTTCCTGCCTCCGTCTGGGCAGTGAGCCAGTACAGAGCCCCCAGGGGCCAAAACTGACCTGCTGCAGCCCGAGTCAGCTTTACACAACTGACCACCCACGAACTGGGAGTAAAAGCGAGGGACACTGTGAAAGAGAGGAGGAGAGAGAAATGGGTTATAGAAGAGGTCTGAGTTTAGCAAACAGCAGTAGTGGTCATTTAGCCACATTTTATACATTGGTCTCAAACTCAATTCCTGGAGGGCCACAGCTCTGCACAGTTTAGCTCCAACCCTAATCAAACACACCTGATCCAGCTAATCAAGGTCTTCTGGATTACTAGAAACTTCCAAGCAGGTGATTTGAAGCTGGTTGGAGCTAAACTCTGC